AGTCTTACCCCATAAGGGTGTCTCCAACATAGACGTTCTCCCACCATAGTCACAACTGATTCTCACAGCCAAATGGCCTGGAGGTCAATTCCTCCAGGAAACCAACTACAATCAAGGCTTAATTACAACAAGCCTGTGCACACAGTACACAAGGGGTGCACCAAGAGTGTCCACCTCAGGTAATTGGGGAGGCTGAGCCACTGGGCCCTATAGGACACCTAGCACACAAAGCCACTCTATCAACACAGGGAAGCAGCCAAAATGCATAGACTGAGAAACAGGTCACAAGTGACAGAAATGGAGGAAAGCAAACTACTGGATATAGAGTTCAAAACCATGGTTATAAGGTTTTTCAAGAATTTTCTAGAAACCGCCAATAAATTTAGTGAGACCCTCGAGGATATGGAAAAGGACCAACTAGAAATTAGGCATACACTGACTGAACTAAAGAATAATATACAGAGATCCAACAGCGGACTGGAGGATCACAAGAATCAAGTAGAAGATTTGAAATACGAAGAAGTAAAAAACACCCAACCGGAAAAGCAAAAAGAAAAAAGAATCCAAGCCAAAACCGGTTTGGCTCAGTGGATAGAGCGTCAGCCTGCGGACTGAGGGGTCCCAGGTTCGATTCTGGTCAAGGGCATGTACCTGGGTTGCGGGCACATCTCCCGGGGGAGATGTGCAGGAGGCAGCTGATCGATGTTTCTCTCTCATCGATGTTTCTGACTCTCTGTCTCTTTCCCTTCCTCTCTGTAAAAAATCAATAAAATATATATTAAAAAAAAAAAAAAAAAAAAAAAAAAAAAAAAAAAAAAAAAAAGAATCCAAAAATATGAAGATAGTGTAAGGAGCCTCTGGGACAACTTCAAGAGTACCAACATCCGAATTATGGTGGTGCCAGAAGAAGAGAGAGAGCCAGATATTGAAAACCTATTTGAAGAAATAATGACAGAAAACTTCCCCTACCTGGTGAAAGAAATAGACTTACAAGTCCAGGAAGTGCAGAAAACCCCAAACAAAAGGAATCCAAAGAGGACCACACCAAGACACATCATAATTAAAATGCCAAGAGCAAAAGACAAAGAGAGAATCTTAAAAGCAGCAAGAGAAAAACAGTTAGTTACCTACAAGGGAGTACCCATACGATTTCAGCTGATTTCTCAACAGAAACTATGCAGACCAGAAGGGAGTGGCAAGAAATATTCAAAGTGATGAATGGCAAGAACCTACAACCAAGATTACTTTATCCAGCAAAGCTATCATTCAGAATTGAAGGTCAGATAAAGAGCTTCACAGATAAGGAAAAGCTAAAGGAGTTCATCACCACCAAACCAGTATTATATGAAATTGTGAAAGGTATTCTTTAAGAAGAGGAAGAAGAAGAAAAAGGTAAAGATAAAAATTATGAACAACAAATACATATCTATCAACAAGTGAATCTAAAAATTAAATGAATAAAAAATCTGATGAACAGAATAAGCTGGTGAATATAATAGAATCAGGGGCATAGAAAGGGAGTGTACTGACAATACTCGGGGGGCAAGGGGTATGGGGGATGCGGGAAGAGACTGTACAAAAATCATACACCTATGGATGAGGACAGTGAGGGGGCAGAGAGTCAGGTGGGAACCTGGTGGAGGGGAGCTATAGGGGGAAAAAAAGAGGAACAACTGTAATAATCTGAACAATAAAGGTTTAAAAAATAATAAAAAAAGAAAAAAGAAAAGAAAAGGGACAGAGTGGAAGAAGACCATAAAGATGAAAGCCATGCTGGCTTCAAGAAGGATGACGACTCATTTAACTTGCATAACAGCAATAATTCCAAGACAGAGATTTAAACCGAAACTTTGATGAAAATGAAATTCCACAAGAGAATGGCAATGCTTTGGTTATTTCCCAGCAGATCATTTCGTCTTCAACCTTCCCACAAACAGATGTTCTTTCAAGTTCACTTGAGGCAGACCACAGATTGTTAAAGGAGATGAGCTGGCAAGAAAACAGTGAAAACAATGAAAGCTGTGCTTCCTTGACTGAGGATGAAATGAGAGAATTCCAAGTTATTAGAGAACAGTTGCAGAAGAATGGTCTGAGGAAAAATGGTATTTTGAAAAGTGGCCTGATTTGTGACTTCAAGGTTAGACCCTGGAAAAACAGTACTTTCCACCCCATGGTTGAGAATAATGACACAGAGACGAGCAGCAGCAGCCACATGTCCAAGGACAATGACGAGGACGTGTAAGGGTCCTGGCAGCCTGAAAGGTTTAGTATGGCATGTACTCATGTAGTCAGGGTGGAGTATAAAATGAAGAACTATTTATGTAGTAAAATGCCCCATCAGAAGATTGGGGGGGGGGTCTTCTATATGAAGAAAACCAAGAATATTGTGTTAGGCTGTGTTGAACATTCTTTCTTTGTACATGGATGTTGTAGAAATGAAGACTTTGGTGGACCCAACATTCATTCTCTTTATCACTGCAGCATTTCTCTGACTAACAATGTGACAATGTAACAGATGACATGGTCTCATTTAATAATAAAAAATTGTGTAATGTTTTGCAAAGCTTCTGTTTTAAAATGTTCGGCTCTTAAGAAAAAAGCAGCTTACACTATTTTGCTTACAGAGTCCTATCTCTTCATACAATGGAAATCCTCAAGTCCACTTTGTGCATCCCCACTCCCAAAAAAGACAATGTAGCATGTTGGCTAAAACTGGAGCAAAGTGCACTAAAACATTAATTTTATGAGCTCAACTGTTGTACTAGTCACTTTTTAAAACTTAAATGGCTGTTTAGCCTCGTGTACTTCCATAATTATTGCAGGAAAAACTTGCCACACTTTCTTCCAAATTTTAAGAGGAGGTTTTCAAGAGCTTTATTTGGGTATGTTGTCAGACCAGGATTTTCAGAGATGATGAAAAAGACTTGTTGTGGGAAAATTTATTTTGATAAATTATTACATGAGCAGAAAAACTGATCACACTGACTGGATCTGTCCACAACATGGAAATAAACTGGATTTTCAGAAAAAATAAAACATACAATACCTGACTATTTAGTCCGGAGCACTGACCTCTTTTCCCTTAGCTTGTCAAATTAAAAAATGACAAAAGTTCTCCCCAGATAATTTACTAGCACATTTATTTTCCTATACAGTTTTTCTTACATACTTAAAACTGTATATTTTATAGGTTTTTCTTGTTTGTTTTGCTTAACATATTAAGCCCCATGATACTAAAGGCTTCCTAAAATTTTTTAAATGACTAGACACTATTTCAAAACAGAAATGAATATTAATCCCTTTAATGTCCTGTGTTTATTTAAAATATTTTAAAATTTATGCAGATGCTTTAAAATATTTTTGTAACTTTTTACATAAATGTATTTTTAAAATTCTTGGTAGATGACAAACTGCTTTCTACCAAGGTTTTTGAGGTTTACTCTTCTAAGATTTCTACTTCATACTGACCCATTTTCCCTTAGATTTTCAAATTAAAAAATGAGAGCCCTAGCCGATTTGGCTCAGTGGATAGAGCCTGTGGACTGAAGGGTCCCGGGTTCAATTCCGGTCAAGGGCATATGCCCGGGTTGCGGGCTCATCCCCAGTGGGGGGCGGCCAGGAGGCAGCTCATCAGTGATTCTCATTGTTGATGTTTCTATCTCTCTTTCCCTCTCTCTTTCTCTCTGAAGTCAATAAAAATATATATTTTAAATGACAACAGCCAACATAATAGCCCTCCAGTGTGAATCAAAATTATACCTATTTTTTAGTCAGATTTTAATAATTAGTTTATGTGTGTCTTGAGATTTAAAAAAAAAAAGTTGAAAAATGCTGGTTTAGAGCAATTGCCATGGCTGCGGTGTGAAGAATGGATGTGGGGATGCCAGGCCTGGCGGGCGCAGTTCGGTGGTTGAGCATGGGTTTGGTTCCCAGTCAGCGCAAATGCCGGGGTTGTGGGCTTGATCTCCAGTGTGGGGCGTGCAGGAGGCATATGGTGGGGAGGGGGGTAGAGACCCCTTAGAATAGTGGTTCTCAACCTTCCTAGTGCTGAGACCCTTTAATACAGTTCCTCATGTTGTGGTGACCCCCAACCATAAATTATTTTCGTTGTTACTTCATAACTGTAATTTTGCTACTGTTATGAATCATAATGTAAATATCTGATATGCAGGATGTATTTTCATTGTTACAAATTGAACATAATTAAAGTATAGTGATTAATCACAAAAACAATATGTAATTATATATGTGTTTTCCGATGGTCTTAGGCGACCCCCAAAGGGGTCGCGACCCACAGGTTGAGAACCGCTGCCTTAGAAGCTAAGAGGATCTGGGTGTCAGTGCAGCTTTGCTACAAAGGTGTGGTCCCAACCCAGACGCATCACCAGGCACACTATGGGAACTCATCAAAAACGCAGAACCTCAGATCCCCAGCCCCATCTCCCATTTGATAAGATCCCCAGACGATTCTTATGCGCATTCAAGTGTGACAATAACTGATCTAGACGGTTGTTTCAAACCGCTGCACACTAGAATCGCCTGGGGAGCTGTAAGTTTTCCGGTGTCCAGGTCACTTCCCATGTCGATTAAGTCAATCACTGCGAGTGGGACCAGAAAGCAAAACCTCTCCAAAAGGGATCCCAAGGTTCAGCCAATCTGGCAGCCTGTGATCTGAGCAATGGGAAGAAACTTACAGCCAGTGGGCTCGGGTAGCTGAGCAACGGGCATGGGAAGGGAGCGTACTAAATAGTTCCGTTGTTTGTTTTTATTTCTGCACAGTGCACAGGTAGTGCCGAGGTAACAGTAAATGAGACGAGTGGAAGGCCTGACAGACGTGCTCCCTGACCGGGCGCTGGACAGCCGAGCAGGGGCGGACGGCTGTCAACCCAGGGCAGCACCGCCCGCTCCGGCCCGCGGGGTTCGCCCCGCCCAGCGGGCCCGCCCCTCTGCGGCCCTGGCGCCCACCCGCGCTCAGGCCGGCGATCTGGGGCGCAGGCGCGGTCGCCCCTGCGGCCGGGGTCGGCCTCCGTTGACGTCAGCACGCCTCACGGGTTCCAGCCCCTCAGCCCGGCCCCCAACTACCGCGCGAGGCGGGCGGGGGCGGGTGCCGGCCAGTGGCGCTCTCCCGTCCGACCGCGCCAGTTTGAATGAAAGCTCCTCAAGATGGCGGCGGCCGAGGCGCGAGGAGGTGAGGGCTAGAGAGCGGCGCCCCTCATATGCCCCCTTCTGCCGGCCAACCCCCCGCGCCGGGAAGCGTGCCGGGACGCGCGGGCCGGGCCCGCGCCGTCTCCCGCCGTGCCGACACCTGGGCTTCACCCTGCCCCTGGCCCTGGCCCCTGACCCTTCTCGCGCCTCGGCCAGCTCGCTCCCCGGAGCCTCCCCCGCAGCCCCGACCCCCGCGGCCGCCGCCGGGCCGGCCCCTCCCGCCCGGTGGCCGTGTGGAGGTATTCGGGCGGCCGCCGCAGCTCCCGCTAGCTCCCAGGGGCTCGGGTTCCGTGGCCGCACGTGTGGCTTGGCTTCTTTGTGGTGGTTTGAGCGGGACGTGTAGTGTTCGGGCTGACTTTTAACGGGGGAGTGGGGAACCCGGGGTGTGAGTGTGACCCCAGTGTCCGAGGAAAGAAAGGAATCGGCCGGAGTATGGCCGCTAAGGAAGGGGATGAGCGAGGGCACATCCCAGCTCGGCCTCCCCGGGAGGGCACGCGCCTCGTCGGAGGGACCCCGTAAGTGGGCGCCGGGGGCGGGCCCCGCAGCCCGGGCTCCCTTCGTGCCCACCGGGGCTGGAGTGGTTGGCGTGGGCGCCGGGGCGCTAGGTGCCGACCGTGTGTGTGTTCTTGTGCGCGCTTGAAAGACTGGAACTTTGATTGCATTCTAGAATCTAAAGGCGTTTTCCAGGACTGTTCCTCCCCGCGTACATTATGAAATCTTGATCCGCCACTTTTTCTTCCACTAGAGGTTACTGTGAGCTACTGAGCTGGGGTTTTTTTGTTTGTTTGTTTTTGTGGTGGTAATGAAATGTTTAATCTTGCACATGATTTTTTTTCCCTACGTTAATCAAAATTGTTACCAAGAGTGTTTTATGCTCCTTTTTCTTGTTTGTGTTTTTTTGTTTGTTTGTTTTAACTCAATAGCATTTCCAGGGAAGGTTGTGTCTTGAATCTTGTTACCTCAACTAGATAAAAACAGCAGACAAGTCACCTGGGGTAGAGAGGAACCTCTTTTGCATGTGGTCAGCATAATGAGGTTAACTTTACACAAAACAGCCTGAAGGTTTTTTAATTAAAGGAAAGGATTTAAGGGTTCTTTTCTCTTCTACTACTCTTCTACCCCAACACCACCCCAAAGCAAGTAACCCCCCCCCCGCCCGCCCATTTTTTTAAGTATCTTTCTCTTACACACACACACACACACACACACACACACACACACACACACACAATATCTTTCACTTTCTTGATGTAAAATTATGAGCCCTCTGTGGGACAGTAGGGTGGAGATAGAAATCCTGCTTCAGGGTTTCTTACCGTGAAGTCCCTGTGTGAGTGGAGGGTGAAAACTGGATAAAGCAAGATCAGCTGTGGTCTCTCTAAATGACCTCAAAACACAAAAAAAGTTGTCACAGCTACCTTGGAGAGCTACCGAGTAGAGCTTGAGTTTACTTATAGATGTTGTTTCCTAACCCCAGTTTACTCCAACCCTGGAATTTACTCCAACCCAGTGCATCTGAAACCCAGAACAGTGAAAATCTCGCTAAAGTCATACGCTAAGGGGCCTAGCAAAGGCTGGAGCAGAGGGCCTTTGATCTTCTCTAGTGCTTACCAAACCACTAGCCATGAAACCAAGTTTATTGCAGATGTCTAAACATCAGTTTGTTTTAGCATATTTTACTAGCAATATGGCAGCAGAAATTTTAGGGTAAAATCTGCTGCAGCACAATTAGGTATTGGCTACTATAAGATTGATTGAGTGGTGTCTGATTTTCTTCAAGCTTGGTGTATGGGTGATGTAAATTGAATACTCTGTTTTGTAATTCTTGGCTTTAAAAAACAATGCAGGAAATGACTATGACAAAAATCAGTATACCTTCCATTATGTTGTTATAACTGGGGTTTATTTCCCTTAATAATAACTTTGAAGCATGGACAAAATAAGTGGAGTTAAAATTTCATGCAACATTGCAAGCTGAAAAAGGGGCATATGATGTATGATCATGTCACATAGAACTATATTTCAGTCAGATTTCACTTCTTATCCAACTAAGAGAAAGGGGGAAAAGTTACTTTTTAAAATTTTAACAAATTATAAGATTATTTTAAGATATATTTCTAACAGTAAGAATGCCCTAGCCATTTACATTTTATTAAAGCAGTAGTTATATTCTATGTAGACTATAATGGAAAAGTAAAAAACATTACCCCTTTGACCTTTGCATATATATGTAATCTTAAGAAAGCTTACGGACATGAAACATTTTGTTCAGGTGGCTCAGTAGAAATTAATTGACATCAGTTAAACATAGTAGGACATGAAAAAGTCCAAGAAGATCAATTTACCAAAATAGTTCTTTAATGCTTACCTTTGTCTTGAAGACATAAAAATGGTTTCTTGTCATATGAATTTTTAGTCCTGTAAAATTGCCAGTAGAAGGGTGGGGATATAGAAATCTTAAGTTTTTCCTTTTCCTTTTTTGTTTTAATTCAGTAGCTATTTCATTAGTAAAGAGTTCTATTTTCTTATTGTAGCTTGGTGTGTGCCTTGCCTAGTTTCACTTGATACTCTTCAGGAAGTATGTAGAAAAGAAAAGCTCACATGTAAATCGATTGGAATCACCAAAAGGAATCTAAACAATTATGAGGTGGAATACTTGTGTGACTACAAGGTAGTAAAGGTAAGGCAAATATCTAGTCCCTTAAAAGAGACTTAATTAGATTTCAGTATTTCATATGTGTAAAATAAAAAGAACCTTAAGTAAGCAAAGCTCTTCTTAATGTTTAAAGCCATAATAATTTATATGTCCTGTCTGTATTACCAAATAAAATTGAAAGGATTTTTAAGCATACGGTGTGCTTGCATTAGAATATTTGAAGTGCTTATATCATTCTACATCCAACTCTTGATTCTCTCTATGTGGGTTACCAGAGCAAATATTTTATCTCAGATTGGCTTCTCCTGGGATTCATTTTGTTCCTGAATCATATTTCCCCACTATCACCTGAAATGAACTTAGAAATTCAAACCAATTTTTGTGTTACTGAATGTCCTCAGGAAGCAGCACCATTTATATTTCCTGCCAACATGTCAAGCTCCAGATATTAGTGAGGTTCTGTGGTGTACTAGAACAGCGTGGAGTTTAACGTCATTTCTAGCCTCTGTTTAGTGTCTTAAGACTTCAGCAAAGTCACCTAACTTCTCTGGGACTTAACTTTATTACTATTCATTTTAAAAATGACAGTATTGTTCTAAAAGCTTTTTCAATCTAAATCTTACAATAAATTTTTGAGTAATCATCTCTATAGCCTATTCTCTCTCCAAGAACTCTGTTTTGATCATTATTCTGTCATTTTTACAGATAATTAGGAATCTTGTTTAATTCTTTGTTTTTCTTCATCAGATTCCACATCGATTTAGTCATTAAATGCAGTTCTTCCTTCGAAATATCCATCTTTTGATATCACTGCCTTCCTTACTCAGTGGGATTTTATGATCATTGTTATGATCTTCACAACAACCTTCAAACCCAAAACAGCCCAATTATTTGTCTTCACAGTTTATAAACTCTGGCCTGAACAATCTAGCTGAGAATATTGTATAATCACACATATTGGCTCCATGAAAGCTTATTTCTTTTTTTTAATCTTTTGCTCTTTTTTTAATGTGTTTTTTAAAAAATATATTTTTATTGATTTCAGAGAGGAAGGGAGAAGGAGAGAGAGAGAGAAACATCAAGATGAGAGAGAATCATTGATCTGCTGCCTCCTGCAGGCCCCCTATTGGGGACCAAGCCTGCAACCCAGGCATATGCCCTTGACCCGAATCGAACCTGGGACCCTTCAGTCCACAGGCTGATGCTCTGTCCACCTAGCCAAACTGGTCAGGGCTTTTTATGTGTTTTGATTGATTTTAGAGAGAGAGGAAGGAAGGAGAGAGAGAAACATCTGTTGGCTGAGAGAAACATATCAGGCATGCTAAAGCTTATTTCTATTCTCATACTGCTCATTCTACTTGATACGCTTTTTATTCTTCGCTTTCTTTTCTTTTTTTAAATATATTTTTATTGATTTCAGAGAGGAAGGGAGAGGGAGAAAGAGATAGAAACATTAGTGATGAGAGAGAATCATTGATTGACTGCTTCCTGCATGCCCCACATGGGATGGAGTCCACAATCCAGGCATGTTCCCTGACGGGGAAATCAAACTCTGACCTCCTGGTTCATAGGTCAGTGCCGGCTGGGCTATTCTTTGCTTTCTTTCCCCATTCATGTCAGCAGTTTTCCCAACTTTTATCTCAGATTGGCTTCTCCTGGGATTCATTTTGTTCCTGAATTGTATTTCCCCACTATCACTTGAAATGAACTTAGAAATTCAAACCAATGTTAGTGTTACTGGATCTCCTCAAGAAGCAGCACCATACTGTTTACCATAGGGGCTGCACCAATTTACAATCCCACCCTTTCATATTCAGCTGCAGACCTCTTCTATCTGTGAAAAGTAGGATCCCTCAAATAAAAACTCAAATTATCTTCACACCAGTTATTTGTAGCTTCGCTTATTCATAGTTTTAGAAATATCACCATTTGTCTTTTTTGTTATCCATCCCCTTTAGGACTTTGCTTAATCTGTGATGTCTTGTTTGCATCTCTCTTTCCACTGATTTATCTCATTTGATAAACCTATCTCTATGACTGTTTTTATAACTGGCAATTTGCACATCTTAATCCCTTCCCTTTTTTCACCCATTTCTCCAACTTTCCTCACATCTAGCAACCATCAATTTTTTTTCAAGATTTTTAAATTCATTTTTAGAGAGAGAAGGGAGAGGGAGAGAGAAACAGATGTGAGAGTGATACATCGGTAGGCTGCCTCCTGCACACACCCCCTGCCATGGATCGAGCCTATAACCCGGGGCATGTGCCCTAACCAGGAATTGAACCAGCAGCCTTCTGGTGCACAGGACGATGCCCAACCCACTGACCCACACTAGCTAGGGCTAGCAACCATCAATTTGTTCTCTATGTCTATGAGCTTGTTTCTGTTTTTTTTTGCTTGTTTATTTTTTAGATTTCACATGTAAATGAAATTATTTGATACTTGTCTTTCTCTGACTTATTTCACTTAACATAATAACCTCTAGGTCCAACCATGTTGTTGCAAATGGCAGCATTTCATTCTTTTTTATGGTTAAGTAATATTCCATTGTATATATGTGCCACATCTTTATTCATTTCGCTGTTTATGGACACTTAGGTTGCTTCCTTATTTTGACTGTTGTAAATAATGCTTCAACAAACAGGGGTATATATAGCTTTTTGAATTAGTGTTTTGGATTTTTTCAGCTAACTCCCTAGCAGTGAAATTGCTGGGTTATGTGATAGTTCTATTTTTTTAAATTTTTTGAGGAACCTTCATACTGTTTTCCATAGTGGCTGCACCAATTTACAATCCCACTAGCGATGCACGAAGGTTCCCTTCCCTCCACATCCTCCCCAACACTTGTTATTTGTGGATTTATTAATGATAGCCATTCTGACAAGTGTGAGGTGATAGCTCATTGTGGTTTTAAATTGCATTTTCCTAATGATTAGTGATGTTGAGCATCTTTTATATTGTCCTTTGGAGATATGTCTATTCAGGTCCTCTGTCCATTTATTAATCAGATCTCTGTGTGCGTGTGTGTGTGTGTGAAGTTGTATTTGTATATTGTACATAATATCCTTATGTATTTTGGATATTAACCCCTTATTGGATGTATCATTGGCAAATATCTTCTTCCATTCGGTAGATTGTCTTTTCATTTTGTTGATGGTTCCCATCACTGCAGAACCTGCTTAGTTTGATGTAGTCCTATTTGTTTATTTTTTCTTTTGTTCTCCTTGCCTGAGGAGACATATCCAAAGCAATATCACTAAGAGCAATGTTGAAGAGTTTACTTTGAGTTTATAGTTATTTGTGGATTTACATTTAAGTCTTTAATCCAGCGGTTCTCAACCTGTGGATCGCGACCCCTTTGGGGGTCGAACAACCCTTTCACAGGGGTCGCCTAAGACTATTGGAAAACACATATATAATTACATATTGTTTTTGTGATTAATCACTATGCTTTAATTATGTTCAATTTGTAACAATGAAATTGGGGTCACCACAACATGAGGAACTGTATTAAAGGGTCACGGCATTAGGAAGGTTGAGAACCACGGCGTAATCCATCTTGTAGATGGTATATGAAAGTGGTCCAGGTTCATTCTTTTGCATGTATCTATCAAGTTTTCCCTGTACCATTTATTGAAGAGACTGTCTTTCCCCATTGTATATTCTTTCCTCCTTTGTCACAGATTAATTGACTATATAGGCATGGGTTCATTTCTGGGTTCTCTGTTCTGTTCCCTTGATTTTTGTGTCTGTTTTTATGTCAGTACCATGTTATTTTGATTATTATATTAGCCTTGTAGTATAGTTTGATATCAGGTAGTGTGATACTTCCAACTTCGGTCTTTTTTTTTTTTTTTTCAAGATAGCTTTGGATATTTGTGGTCTTTTCTGGTTCCAAATAAACTTTAAGTTTATTTGTTCTAGTTCTGTAAAAAATGCTATTGGTATTTTGATCAGGATTGCATTGAATATGTAAATTGTTTTGGGAAGTATGGACATTTTAACAATATGTAATATTCCTATATATGAGCACCATATATCCTTCTATTTATTTGTATTTTCTTCAATTTCTTCTAGTGCCTTACAATTTTCCAAATATAGATCTTTTACCTCCTTGGTTAAATTTACTCCTAGGTATTTTATTCTTTTTCATGCAATTGTAAATTGGTTTATTTTCTTAATTTCTCTTTTAGTAGTTCATTATTGCTGTACAAAAATACACCAATTTTTAAATTTGGTACTATGCTACTTTATTGAATCATTTATTAGTTCTTATAGGTTTTTAGTGGATTCTTTATGGTTTTCTATGTAGTATGTCATCTGCAAATAATGCCATACAAGTGAATTTTACCACACATTCAAAGAAGATTTAATACCTATTCTCCTCAAACTACTTCACAAAATTGAAGAGAAGGGAACCCTCCCTACCTCATTTTACAGGGCCAGTATTACCCTGATATCAAAATCAGATGAAGACTTTTTTCCCAGTATATTTTTATTGATTTCAGAGAGGAACGGAGAGGGAGAGAGAGATAGAAACATCAATGATGAGAGAGACCGTGGACTGGCTTACAAAATACTTCAGTATCTAACCCTATCAATACATTTCAAAACTCTATTCTGAGCTCTCCCCACAGCATGCTCTGTCCTACTATAGCTGACCTCCTTATAAAAATAAAATAAAATAATAAAATAAAATAAAATATGAGAATCATTGATTGGCTGCCTCCTGCATGTCCCCAACTGGGGATCGAGCCTCCGCAACCTGGGCATGTACCCAGACCAGGATTCAAACCGTGACCTCCTGGTTCATAGATCAACGTTCAACCACTAAGCCACTCTGGCTGGGCCAGACAAAGACATTTTTAAAAAAGAAAAGTATAGGCCAATAGCACTCTTGAACATGGCTGCAAAAATCCTCAAAAAAAAAAAAAAAATCTCAAACAATTTAATACAGTTTAATTCTTACTTTCCAATTCAGGTGCATTTTGTTTCTTGTCTGATTGCTGTGGCTAGGATCTCC